TTTTCTTATTAATCAGTTTGAGTGCTCTGTGGATTATGATTATTAGACTTTTGTTGGAAACACAACCTACAAATATCCTCTCCCACTCTGAGGGCTGTCTACTTGCTTTACTTACTGTGTTCTTGGCAGTGCAGAAGCTTTTCAGTTTGATCAGATTACAGTAATGTATTTTTGGTATCACTTCAATTGCCCAGCAGTGTCCACCTTATAAAGTATTCTTCCAGTTTTTTCCCTGCACTCTCTCCAAGAATTTTTAAAGTTTTATGTCTTAAAGTTTAAGTGTTTTCTCCAGTGAGAGTCAATTTTTGTTGGAGAAAGGTGGGGGTCCAGTTTTATTCTTCTACAATTTGCCTACCAATTCACTCAGCATCATTTATTAAATAAGGAATCTTTCCCCCAATTTATATTTCTGATAGGTTTATCAAAGATCAAATGATGATAAGTGTCTGGGTTCATCTCTTGGTTTTCAATTCTGTTCTATACATCTCTCTATTTTGTGCCAGTAGCATGCTTTTTTGATCACTATCAATTTATAGTAAAGTCTGAAGTCTGGAAGGGTAATTCATCCTGATTTGTTTTTATTTCTGAGTAATGTCTTGTCTATTAAAGGTTTTTTTTTTTCATGTTAAAAGAAGTACTAATTTTTTCAGATCTTTGAAGTACGAGAGGTGCTTTAATAGGGATTGCATTAAATCTGTAGATTGCTTTGGGTAGTATGGACATTTTAACAATGTTGATTCTTCCCAGTCATGAGCATCATGTATTTTTCCATTTGTTACATCTTTAGCTATTTCCTTTCACAGAGTTTCATAGTTCTCTTTATAGAGATCTTTCATATCCTTTGTTAGGTACACTCCCAGATATTTCATCTTTTTTGGCACTACTGTGAATGGAATAGAGTCCTTCACTGCTTTTTAAGCTGAATATTGTTTATATATATAAAGGCAACAGATTTGTGAGTATTGATTTCATATCCTGAGATGTTGCTGTATTCCTTGATCACTTCTAAGAGTTTTGTAGTTGAGTCCCTCTTGCTGCTTTCCAGATATACAATCATATCGTCTGTGAAGAGTGACAGTTTGACCTCCTCTGATCCTATTTGGATACACTTGATTGCCTTCTTTTGCCTGATTGTCATGGTTAAGGGTTTCGTTACAATGTTAAAAGGCAGTGGAGACAATGGGAAACCTTGCCTGGTTCCTGATCTGAGTGGAAATGATTTCAATTTTACTCCACTTAATATGATATTGGCTGCGGGTTTACTGTAGATGGCCTCTATCAGTGTAAGAAATGTTCGTTCTATACCTGTTTTCTTAAGTGTTCTGATCATGAAAGGATACTGGATATTATCAAAAGCTTTTTCTGCATCAATTGAGAGAATCATGTGGTTTTTTTTTTATTTTGTTTATGTAATGTATTACATTTATAGATTTACATATATTGAACCATCCTTGGGACCCTGGGATAAACACCACTTGTTCATGATGTATAATTTGTTTTATGTGTTGCTGGATTCTATTTCTAGTATCTTATTGAATATTGAGATATTGGGCTATAATTTTCTTTTCTTGTTGAGTCTTTTCCTGGTTTGGGGATCAGGGTGATATTTACTTCATAGAATGCATTGAGAGGTATTCCTTCTTTTTCTATATTTTGCAAAATGTTAAGTAATGTAGGTACTAGTTCCTCTTTAAAGGTTTGGTAGAATTCTGATGAGAAGCCATGTGGTCCTGGATTCTTATTTTTGGGGAGATTTCGTATAATTAATTCTATTTCAGTACTTGTTCTAGGTCTGTTCAGCATTTCCACTTCTGTTTAAGTCTAGGAAGGTAGAGTGCTTCCAAGTATTGGTCAATTTCTTTCAGATATTTCTGAGAATAGAGTTTTTTGTAATATTCATTAAGAATTTGTTGAATTTCTCAGGTGTCATTATGTAGTCTTTA